CACGCTCCCTCTTGGGTCTGTGCCCCTAGCTCTAGCTCTTCACACACTTGATTCTCCTGACTCCATAAGCATCCTACTCCTCACATCACCCTAAGGACCCATTTTCTTCCTCCTCACTGCGTTTCTCCAATTAACCCTCCTGGCCTTATCACTTCCTCCTTCCGTAGGATCCCAGAACCATGTTGCTTAAAGAGACCTCGGAGACCACCCTGTTCAGCTGCTTCGTTTAATGGATGAGAAAACACGCCCAGAGAAGGGTCATACCATCGGTTGGTTGGGGGAGTGAACAGAGGTCCCAAACCCTCAGCTCAGAGTCTTTCTCTGTGTCTGTGTGGCTGACCTACATCTGCTAGTGTACTGTATACATTTTCATTTGATCACGGTGGCATTTAGCTTAGGAAGGGGAGAGAGGGGAATGGGTCTTTCAACTAGAATTCTGAATGTGCAAATGGCAGAGTGTGGGGCTGGTAGGGGAAAGGGCTCAGTTTTACCTTGCCCCCCAGTGTGTGGCTGGGGGAACCTGCAGGGGTGTTCTGAGTTCTGAGGGGAGGGGCTGGATTGTATAGAATGAGGCGTGGGCTATCAGGTCTTACGGTGGGGAGGGGGCCTGGGTCTTCATTTCTGCCCTGCTTTGTCCACTTGCCTCAGAGCATAGGCAGCACTTGCTATTGGTGACACCGTGTGCTGGACAGCGTCAGTTGTCAACCTGACACACCTGGGAAGAGGGACCCTCAAATGGGGAATTGTCTCTGTCAGACTGTGAGGCCTTTTCTTTTTCTTGACTGTTGAATGATATGTGAGGGCCCAGCCCACTATGGGTGGTACCACCCCTGAGCAGGTAGACCTTGGTTGTATAAGAAAGCAGATTGAGGGGCTGGAGAGACAGCTCAGCAGTTAAGAGCCCTGGCTGTTCTTGCAGAGGACCCATGTTCGATTCCCAGCACCCACATGGGGATGCACAACTTCCTGAAACTGTAGTTCCAGGGGATTTGACTCCCTCTTCTAAGCTCTATGGGCACTGCATGACATGGGTGCACTTATATACATGCAGGCATAACAGGGGAAGGAGGGAGGGAGGGAGGGAGTTTCTGCTTAGCTCAGAGCCAGCATTAAGAAGGGCATTGCCCCTGTGACATGATGTGACACCATGGCTAGAGTCCCTACCATAGCTTCAAGTGAAGGCCTGGAATAGAGACTTGGGAAGCCCTAGCCTGTAGTTAGGCTCTTGGAACTCAGTCTAGCCTAGGGCCACGCAGACCAGGCTGTTCACAGGGTCCCAGGAAGAATTAGTCCCGAGGATTTTTAAGAAGATGTGTAGGCCATTGGACTTGGAGAATGCTACAGAGCTAAGACAGGGAGGGAGGGAGGGAGGGAGAGAGGAGAGGGAGGGAGGCTGGCTGAGCACAGCCCAGAGAAGCAAACCAGTAAGCAGCGTTTCTCCATGGTCTATGCTTCAGCTCCTGCCTCCAGGTTCCTGCCCTAAGCTCCTGCCCTGCCTTCCTTCCATGATGAACTGCAAGCTGTAAGGTGAAATAAACCCTTTCCTCCCCAAGTCACTTTTGGTCAGTGTTTTATCACAGAAATAAAAAGCTAACTAGGACACCCTCTGAATGGAATAGTACTGCCCACTCCCACCACCAGCCCCATCTGTATGTCAGGGCATCACCTCCATAAAGCAGGGGCCCCAGGCGTGGTCATGACCTTCCATCCCTGCCTGGTACATGGTGTGGGGAACTGCAGGGGTGTGGGAACTCACGTTCCATCTTCGTTGCTCCTGTAGAACACCAAGAAGGGATCAGATTTCCCGAAGAAATCTTTCTTGTCCAACTTGTTGGCACAGAACTGCATTGTGGCGACATCCTGGAAAGGAAGGAGGACAGGGTGGTGAGGCTGAGGGAGTCCAGGACCAGCAAGCAGTGTCTTCCCTTTGCCTGGCACAAGCCCCAGGATCACCCTTGGTATGGAGTGGCAACTTCAGCAGTCAACAATCAGCATCCCAGGCTGGACGGCTGGGGAAGCAGGTAGCTCTGGAGCTGCCCTGGGTTCAAATCCTGATTCTGCCACTTTGGAGCTATGCAACCTCAGGCAAGGCAGGTAACCGCTCAGAGCCTTCAGTTCCCCTCACTGAGACTTGTGGGGTGATGGTGAGGAGCACAGGAAGTCAAGGGTATGAGATGTTCAGTATGTAACCTCTCCTGTGGCTCACCATCGTGACCTGGAAACCCAAGACCTTCTGAGTGTGGCCCTGGTACTGTGCACCATGCCCCACCCCTTCACATATCTGCGTGGCTCTTAGAGAACATTCTATGTTGAGCATACCTTCCACTAAGCATGAGGCACCCACCTGATGCTTTAAGGAGTTGGGGACAGAGACAAAGGCTAGAGGCCAAAGGCCCATGGGGGGATAGGGGGTTGTACTTACCAAGCTCACTGCCCCACTGTCCTAATACCAGCCCCAATGGCACAAAGGTGGACAGACACTGTGAGGACCACTACCTCTTTCCTCAGTAGGGTGGCATCCCTCTTGGACTCCACCCCCTCAGGCTTTACCCTTTACCCCTCTCAGTACCCCGACAGCTCTCAGGGCCCCTCTTTCAGGACCCCTCTCTCCTCTTCTCTCAGGGCCCCATTCCTTGGCTGGTTGTGGCTGACTCTGCCTGTCAACCACAGATGCCCTGTGTCCACCTTTCCACCTGTCTCCACCATGTGGCCTCTCCAACATGAAAGGTCAGCAGCCTGACACCTTCTAGCTGGCCAGAGCTCGGCTCTGTCTGAAGACGGTAGAGTCCAGTCTGCTATTCAGGAAGCCTCTTACGTGGCCCCTTTCCTCTTGCCTTGGGTGTCTTGAGTTAGGGACCAGTAAGGACCCAATGGTGACAGAGATGCAGATGCAGCCTGTGGAAGGCTAAAGGACACAAAGGACAGGCCACGCTGTGGGTGTGGTGCCCGATCAGCATGGATGCAGCCTGTGACAGCTCCGTTTCTCCTCAGCTGTGTGACCTAGGGCAGTTCACTCACCCTCTCTGTGCTGTGTCCTCATTGCTAAAATCTGGTACAAAACCAGCTTTTACCTCACAGGCTTGGGAGGATAAAATGAGTTAACGGGAACACAATGCTGACAGCAGCATATGGCATACAGTAAATACTGTGTGAGAAATACCATTTTTTAATGCTTTTCCCCGCCCCTTGGTGTGTGTGTGGCCCTAGTCCTTGCTCCACCTCCTCCATCTTGTGAGTCTTCCTACAAGGATATATGATGTCATCATACCCACAAACATCCCTCAGTCGTTTAACAACCTTTTTTTTTTTGAGAACCGAACCTGTTTCCTCTCTAAGAGCAGTATATGCTCTTAACTGCTGAGCCATCTCTCTGGCCCCCTATAGTGCCATTTTTGTAAACAAATGACAATTTTTTGCAATTTCATATAGTTCGACCCAGGAGTAGGTAACTACAAGTAGTGGCTCTAATTTTCTTGTCTTTTTGGTGCTGGGGATGAATCCATGACCTTGTGCATACTGAGCAAGCACTGTTCTCGTAAGCCAGGACGCCCAGCTTGCCTTCACTTTTGATCTAAGCCCCCAACCCAATCTGGTCCTGTAAGGCCCTCTAGGGTTCTCTGAAAGGGAGCAAGAGCTCTCACCCCTGGACTCTGTGCTGTTGGGCTGTCTCCAGTGTGCGTGTGGTTTGGTGTTAGCCACTGACACAGGGGTTGAGCATGTCCCATATGGCTCAGGTCAGAGTGTCATCCAGGGGATGCTACAGGGATCCCGGATTTCCAGAGTGTCACCCGGGTGCCAGCCCTTGCTGATCCGTGTCCCCAGCTGTTGGTCTGCCCTAGTATTCTCCCTGTGGCCTCAGCACTGAATAGTAAACAGCCCGGCGGGCTTAAAGGATCAATGGCCATCCTGTCCAGCACAGGAAACTGAGTCTTGTTAGCCACCATGTGGGTGCTGGGAATTGAACCCAGGTTCATGCACTCGCCCACACACATACACTCATAAAACATAAATAAAACATGAAAGATATTTTACAAAAGAAAAGACAGGGGCTGAAGAGATGGCTCAGCGGTTATGAATACTGGCCGCTCTCGTAGAGACCATCTGTAATTCCAGATCAAGGGACTCTGATGCCCTCTTCTGACCTCCAAGGGCACTGCACACAAGTGCACTTACATACATATAGGCAATACACTAACAAAATAAAAATAAATTTTAAAAAATTTTAAGGTGGGAAAAGGCACAGAAGGGTTAATACCTTTGCTGGGAGCTACGCAGAGGGTAGTATTGCCTCCAGAGAGAAGTAAACCTGACCCCAAACCACCAAATGAGTTTAATTATATTCTGTAACCTCAACTGGAGGAGGCAGAGAAGTGTGGAATCCATTTATAAGGGCCTCCATGCAAACTAGTCAAAATGGAAAAGAAAAAAAAAAAAAAAGCATAGGCCTTTAATTCTAGCACTCAAGAGGCTGTGAGATCAGGGCATCAAGGCCAGCCTGGTCTACATATTGAGTTCCAGACCAGTTGGGGCTACAGGGAGACCCAGTCTAAAAGAAAAGACAGGTTCTAAAATGCAATTCGGTTCTAAAACTTTGCCAAGGTATAAGAGCCAGTTTCTTGTTGAGAGCAGATAATGCTACAGGCTCATCCTGACCCTCCTCTCCCCCACCATACATATAATCTAGACGCAGGGACACTGGTCCAAAGTCTACTGTGACTGTTGCATTATGTAGGACCCTTGGGACAGGACAGATTTTCAGAGTGGTTTCTAGCCTTTCACCAAAGCAAGCTCCTTCCCTGATGCGCACCCAGTGGAGAAAGCCTTGGGAGCAGGAATGGGTCAATGCAATGTCCAGGTCCAGGGATGGTGTGTGCTGGGCAAGTGCTCTCCCTGTGCTGAGGCGATATGTGACAGAATGTCCTATGTCTGTGACTGCTTTGGCCTTACCAATCAGCCACACCCAGAACAGCCACACCAGGCACTCAGGGACTGTTTCCCCAGACAGCCTGTCTCACTTGGGTAAAACAGGTTCAGGAAAGAGGGGGGCATAAGAAGAATGTCCTGATCTGCACGTAGCCCACCACAGCTGTGCCCTATATAATCTCCAACCATTGCCCTCCCTCCTCACAGTGACCTCCATCCGATGAAAGGTTGCTGCCCTTCACCGTGCTGAATAAACAACAGTCTCATCTGCTGAAGGTCTGGTACTGGTCTTTCTCCCAACTCCACTCTCTTTGCTGCAACCTAACAACATGCAGAGGTCTTCCCTGTTCCCCTTCAATGGACTTAGTGAATGGGTCAAACTCTTGTCATACTGTGAACTCAAAGAGAGGCAGGGAGACTGGGACTCCCTGTGCGGACCTGGGTTTTCTGGGGTTCTATGCTAGGATGAGGCTCAGTGAGATGCTGTTCCCAGCCTGTGCATCCTGGGAATCCGCAGCAGGGAAGATCAAAGAGCTCCTGCGATATATAATTTCCTGCAATTTCTGCCTTTCATCCTATCTTTTTAAAAAACATATTAAGTTCTTCCAAAACAGCAGGATTGCTTCAATTTGCATTTCTCCCGAATTCTAATTGCCTGGGAGATTCAGCAAGCAGCCTTTCTCTCCAGCTTGGCCAGCCTTCCTTTAGCCTCTGCCCTTCCCAACCTAGAGAGGGCTGCGGAGGCCAGAGGTCAGGCCCAGAAGTCTGCAGGCATGGTGACGAGCAATGATGTTAGCTTGGGTCTCACTGGCAGCTCCCGGGGTCAGAGTAAGTAGGAGGTGAATGCAAAACTTGAGAGGAACCCCAAGTCTCAGTAATCAAACGAATGTTTTAATATGATATTAAAAAGAAGTCAATACAAAAAAACCTGTGATAAATTACTAAAATTTCAAATGAAGACACTATTTAATTATTATTGTTATTATTATTAGTTTTTGGTCTTTTTGAGACAGGGTCTCCCTGTAGCTCCACCTGGCTGGCCTGGAGCTCACTATGTAGACCAGGCTGGCCTTGAACTCACAGATATCCTCCTGCCTCTTCCTCCCCAGTGCTGGGATTAAAGGTGTGTGCCACCATGCCCAGTTGAAGACACTTTTTTTGTTTTTTTTTAAAACAGGGTCTTCCCGTAACCCCAGCTGGCCTGGAACTCACTATGTAGACCAGGCTGGCCTTGAACTCACAGAGATCTGCCTGGCTCTGCCTCCACCTCCCGAGTGAAGTCACAGAGCTGACAAACAATGACATTTGGTCTAGATCCAAAGCCCAAGTTCTTTTTTTGTTTTGCTTGGGGTTTTTTGTTTGTTTTTTTTTTGTTTTTTTTTTTTTGTTTTTTTTTTGTAACAGACAGAGTCTCACTACATAGCCTTGACTGATCTGGAACTTGTTTTGTAGGCCAGACTAGCCTTGAACTCACAGAGATTGACCTGCCTGTCTGAAGATTTCTGATTTATTTATGTGTATGTGTATGTTTGTGTGAGGGGATGTAAAAGTAGGTGCACTGCCTGTGGAGGCCAGAAGGGGGCGTCAAAGCCCCTGGAGCTGCAGTTACAGATGGTTGTGAGTCACCAAATGGGTGCTGGGAACGAAACTGGGGTCCTCTACAAGAGTAACCAGTATTCTTAACCACCAAGCCATCTCTCCAGGCCCAGCCCAAGTTCTTAATCACCTTACAAGTCAACCAGGAAAGACATCTGTAAATAAACAATGAGATCATGGTGACATTTATTGTCTTTTGTCTGAGGTCTATTGAACTTTCCAAATTTCCTAGCATTAACAGGTTCTTCTTTTTGGTCAGATAAAAAGGTGTGTTGGGGGTGGGGTAAGCGAGTGGAGCTAGGACTCAGTAAAGTCAGTAAAGCATAAGCGTGAAGACCTGC